TGAGTGAGCCGAGACTGTGCCACTGCACTGCAGCCTGGGGACAGAGCGTGAGTGAGCCGAGACTGTGCCACTGCACTGCAGCCTGGGTGACAGAGCGTGAGACTGTCTCAGGAAAAAAAAGTTGGAATGATTCTGGGAAGTCGTTCCTTAGGTAAATAAAATGCCGCCCTGAGAGTTGCCCTCTGAGGAGAGGACTCTGGAGGCCGCCCTCCACCCTCAGGCCAGGCCTGCCTGTCAGTCCCTGCCTCCCTGGACTGCCTCCTGGGGATCGCAGCCCACACCATGCCCTGTTCTTCCTCCTCCCCATTCCCAGGTTGCCCTGCCTGGAGTCTCCCTTCTAGGAGTGAGCCCCTGCCGTGTGGGCAGCACTGGAAGCCCCTCCCTGGCTGTCCCCAGTTCCCTGAAATAAGACTGCTTTCCTGCTAGAGAGATGCCCCCAGTCCCACCTTCTTTTGCTGGGCTCTCAGGGGCTGGGATTGGGGGCAGAGCACACTTAGAGCTGGCTTGGCCTACAGGCTGCTGTTGTAAGGAGCGTAGCAGGTGAGCACCAGGTGAGGCATGTTCCACGGGAAACACAGGAAGGCGCTGGAGGCTGCTGCCAGGGAGCAGTGGGTTCCAGGTCCTCACGCCCAGCCTGCTTCCCTGTGTGAGACTGTGGACACGCATGTGTCTGCCTCTCATCCACAGCCCCCCCGTTGCTACCTGGGGAGTCTGCATGGTTGCCGTGGCCTGGTTCCGGGTTCGAGGCTATGGACATGCCTGGTCTGCCCTCATCTGCAAACTCTGTTGCTACCTGGGGAGCCTTCATGGTTGCTGTGGCCTGGTTCCCCGTATGAGGCTGTGGACACACATGTGTCTGCGTCTCTCGTCCTCAGCCCCTGTTGCTACCTGGGGAGCCTCCAGGGTTGCCGTCCAGTGTGTTTCGAGTCTCTTCTCACGGGTGTCTGGGCCGTGGAAGTTCTCTGTGCTTCGTGGGGCCAGCACGTGTGCACTAACTTCACTTCAGCCAGAGGCTTTGAGGGCTTTGGACTCAAGCTTTACCCAAACTGCTTACAGGGCTGGGGGTGCTGAGCGCCTGTCTCCCCTTTTTCTCATGAAAATGCTGACAGGAGAAAGTGTGATTTGGAGATTTGTAGTCGGTTGTCCTTGCTCATCCGCCTGCCCTTCTAAAGGACTCTGGCTTTCCCGAGAAGCCTCCCGGGTGGTGTTGGTGCCGGGAGCCGAGAGACAGAGTGAGGCCTCCAGGAAACCCTTGGTGTGCTGGGTGACTGCTTGCCCTCCCTGTCTGCCCACTCTGCCCGGTGAGTGGGTCTAGATATCCTCATTGTTCCCTTCCTCTGTCCTCAGCATCAGCCCAGCCCTGAGCAGGCCCCTCCCCACGCAGCAGGAGCTCTGTGATGGCAGGTTAGAGAGGCCCGCCTGAGGGTGCTCTCTAAGGGGAGTGGAGCCCCGTGGAGTCTCCGCCCGGGAGGCTGAGGGAGGAAGAACCCCAGTTAATCCAGGAGGAAGGGTGGGGTGCAGGGGTGGCTGGACGGTGCTCAGAGAGGCAGGGAGAGTGAGCACGGCACAGAGTGGCCTTGGTGCCTAGAGAGGCAGAGGAGAGGGCACGGTGCAAGGTGCTGAGGCCGTCTGTGGCCGCCTTGGTGGGGCTTACTGAGTTCCAGTGGACAGCAGGCGCCAGGGCAGGGCTGGCACATGGAGGACTCTGAAGGCCATGTGCGTCGTCTGCAGTATGGAAACGTGGTAGTGAGAGGGAGCTTGCACTGGCCAGCCCCAGGCGGCTGCACTCCTGCCCCAGGGCTGCTCTGGTGGCATGGCTCTCTCCCAAGTGTCTCCAGGGCCTGAGTACCGGCAGGTGGGCGTCTGTTGCCCACTCACTGTTGCCCAGTGGGTTTGCTGAGATATGCTTTAGAAGGCGTCCACCACTCTAGAACATGCTTATTACATGGGGGGACTGAGAGCCTAGTGCTGAGAACCTCTGACATTAGTGTTAACAGGAGGACAGCCTGTGCCCCTAGCTGGGAATGAGGGGTGAGTGGCAGGAAGCCCGTGTGTCCATGCCTCTTTGAGCTGTGGGTTGGGTGTGTGGACGCCTCACTGAGCCCTAGTTTCCATACTAGCGGCGGGAGATGGGACTCGAGGGTCTCCAAGGCTCCCCAAAGCTCTGCGGCTCTGCCTCTCAGTCTTGTCCGCAGGTCAGCGGGGAACTGACACCTCACCCTTGCCTGCTACTGATCAGTTTGGTGTTCTCTCAGGAGGACTGTTCTGGAATTGAGGTGTAGCATGCTGTGTGTTCTTCCTTAGGGCTTTGTCGTTCGTGGGGGTCACAGCTCTCATGGCTGCCGCTAGCGTGACCCCCCCCGGCTCCCTGGAGTTGCTACAGCCTGGCTTCTCCAAGACCCTCCTGGGGACCAAACTGGAAGCCAAGTACCTGTGCTCCGCCTGCAGAAACGTCCTGCGAAGGCCCTTCCAGGCGCAGTGTGGCCACCGCTACTGCTCCTTCTGCCTGGCCAGCATCCTCAGGTGCGGGGGCCCGCAGGCTGGGAGGAGGGGCCGGCAGGCCGGGCTGGCTTTTGAGCCACACTGCCCAGCCTGGTAGCTCCCAGCATGGCCGGGTTTGGCTTAGATGTGCTCCAGGTGTCGATACTGCCTGGCTTTCGGAGGTTTAACACGAAGAATGTAAAATTAGTAATTTTAAGATAGCATTTTGAAATAGTGTTTTGGATACATGGGGTTAAATATAATAGTCATTACAGTTAATTTTACCTTTTTATTATTATTATTATTATTTTTGAGACCGAGTTTCGCTCTTGTTACCCAGGCTGGAGTGCAATGGCGCGATCTCGGCTCACTGCAACCTCCGCCTCCTGGGTTCAGGCAATTCTCCTGCCTCAGCCTCCTGTGTAGCTGGGATTACAGGCATGTGCCACCATGCCCAGCTAATTTTTTGTATTTTTAGTAGAGACGGGGTTTCACCATGTTGACCAGGATGGTCTCGATCTCTTGACCTTGTGATCCACCCGCCTCGGCCTCCCAAAGTGCTGGGATTACAGGCGTGAGCCACCGCGCCCAGCCCCTTTTTATTATTTTTAATGTGAGTACCAGAAAGTTGAAAGCTCCGCCTCCTGCTCCCTTTTTGGCTGCTCTAGGCAGCTAAGACAGCCGCCTTTCTTACAGCTGAGCCGTCTGAGAGGCGTGGTCTCTGCAGGTCAGCGCAGCTGTGCAGCACCTGAGTTCCTGCAGCAAGCGTCCTTGGCTTTTGAGGAAGGCCTTGTTCACATGCAGGGAGTGCCCTGGGTACTCCTGTCAGGATTTAAATCTTCTCATCTACTTTAAATCTTTAAAAACATTGTACTGTGAATCCTGGGGGTTAAAAAAATGTACGGTTAACATATGATTGCTGCTCGTTCATTAAAGAGGAGAAGGTTTAAAGAAATCATGGTGTGGAGTTAGGTTTTTGAACTGAAGCAAAGGGTGTTCGTTTATGTTTTGCATTACATTTTATAGTGGGATTTTCTTTTTTTCCCTACTAGCTCTGGGCCTCAGAACTGTGCTGCGTGTGTTCACGAGGGCATATATGAAGAAGGCATTTCTATTTTAGAAAGCAGTTCGGTAAGTAAAATATCTTAAAGCTAAAAATGCTGAACAGAAAACGTCTTGGAATTTCCTTTAACAACGTGGGTGGGGCCGGGCACAGTGGCTCACAACTGTAACCTCAGCACTTTGGGAGACCCAGGCAGGAGGATCGCTTGAGTCCAGGAGTTTGAGACCAGCCTGGGCAACATAGTGAGACCTTGTCTCTGTAAAAAAATTCAAAACTTAGCAGAGACTGGGCACAGTACCTCACACTTGTAATCCCAGCACTTTGGGGAACCGAGGTAGGTGGATCACCTGAGGTCAGGAGTTTGAGACCAGCCTGGCCCACGTGGTATAACCCCATCCCTACTAAACATACAAAAATTAGCCGGGTGTGGTGGTGTGCACCTGTAGTCCCAGCTACTTGGGAGGCTGAGGCAGGAGGATTGCTTGAACCTGGGAGGTGGAGGTTGCAGTGAGTCAAGATCATGCCACTGTACTCCAGCCTAGACAACAGAGCAAGACTCCATCTCAAACAAAACAAAATAAAAGCCCCAACAACAACAACAACAAAAACTTAGCTGGGTGTGGTTGGCACATACCTTTAGTCCCAGCTACCTGGGAGGCGGAGGTGGGAGGATTGCTTAAGCCCAGGAGATAGAGGCTGCAGTTGGCTGTGATCACATCACCCCACGACAGCCTGGGCAACAGGGCAAGACCCTGTCTCTGGAAAGCAAAACAAAACACAACACCAGTGGCCAAGTGAAGCTTTAGAAGCCAGAAGTTGGCTGGTCATGGTGGCTGTAATTCCAGCACTTTGGGAGGTCGAGGCAGGTGGATTGCCTGAGCTCAGGAGTTCGAGACCAGCCTGGGCAACATGGCGAAACCCCATGTCTACCAGAGATACAAAAACTTAGCCGGGCATGCTGGCGCACGCCTATAGTCCCAGCCACTTGGAAGGCTGAGGTGGGAGGATCGCTTGAGCCTGGGGGACGGAGGTTGCAGTGGGCCAAGATCATGCCACTACACTCCAACCTGGGTTACAAAGTGAGACCCTTTCTCAAAAAAAAAAAAAAAAAAAAAACAAGGCAGCCAGAAGTTGTCCCTTTGCAGACTTGGGAAGTTTAGGGCTTGGAAACTTTGTCATCAAGGTGGGTCAGTCCTCAGAGAGTCATCCTCACTCCTAGGGTGACCTGGGAAGGTGGCACGACACGGAGTTGGTTTGGTTTGGTTTGGATGCGTGGCCCTGTGTTCCTCGGTTTCAGCGGGGAGGCCGGGAGGAGGTTTAACCTGAGGGCTGTTCCTCTCCCTAGGCCTTCCCAGATAATGCTGCCCGAAGGGAGGTGGAGAGCCTTCCGGCCGTCTGTCCCAGTGATGGGTGCACCTGGAAGGGGACCCTGAAGGAGTACGAGGTAAAGTCGGGCGGCCCTTCAGAGCCTGCATGTTGCATGGTGACAGAAGCCCCAGCAGTCAGGGGTCGTCCCCACCCCCGAAGCAGTTATGACCTTGGCCTGTATTTTCCTTGTGCTGGGGCTGAAGCCTGTCTGATGTCTGTGGAGGAAAAGACATAGCTGCTTCTTAGAGTATGTCCGTTTAGAAACACATGTAGTGGGCAGGGCACAGTGGCTGATACCTGTAATCCCAGCACTTTGGGAGGTGGAGGCAGGCAGACCGTGAGGTCAAGAGATTGAGACCATCCTGGGCAACATGGTGAAACCCCGTCTCTACTAAAAAATACAAAAATTAGCTGGGTGTGGTGGCGCGTGCCTGTAGTCCCAGCTACTCGGGAGGCGGAGGCAGGAGAATTGCTTGAACGCGGGAGGCAGAGGTTGCAGTGAGCCGAGATTGCGCCACTGCACTCCAGCCTGGCGCCTGGCGACAGAGCGAGACTTTCTCTCAAAAAAAAAAAAAAAAAAAAAAAGAAAGAAAGAAAGAAAGAAACACACGTAGTGCAGAGCACAGACCTGCACCGTGGAGCTGGGGCTGTGTGGCCTCCAGTGAGGCACTAGCCCTCCCTATGCCTCAGGTTTCTTGTCTGTCGAGCGTGGGTGGCTGTGAGTGGGAGGTGCCTGTGTGAGCCCAGGGAAGGCCGCGGCTATCCAAGCAGTAGCATTTCCCGGGAATGGCGGGAAGGTCGCCGTGCGCCAGGACTGCAGCTGTCGAGTTTGGTGGGAGTTTTTTGTTGTGTCTCTTGTGTCCACAAAGGATTTCTTATTTTGAATTGTGTTGACACTGGAGAGAGCAGAAATAATGGACACATTTGTCCTGTGGTCACAGAAAGGCTTCCAGCCAGCAACATAGGCAGCGGCCCGCACTTCACTTGGAAATGGACACATTTGTCCCTGTGTGCCAGGCGAGGTGGGCTCACCTTCCTGCATGGGCATATTGGGGGCTTCAGTGCGAGTCTCATGTCACCTTTTCGGCATTTGGAAACTTGGCCTGCAGTGCAGAGGACGGGAGGTGCTGAGAGAGCTAATTTAGGCCTCTGCAGCTCGCCAGGCCGTGCGGCCTTCTTTCTCATCGCAATGAGTGCCCTTTAAGAGGTTTCCCTCTGGGATCCTTGCTCGGGATTCCGGGAGTAACGCTGTCCACAGAGCCCACAGGCAGAGGCAGCCCAGTGTCCACGGATGAATGGATAAATACAGAGACTGTGGTCTGTGCACTTGGTGGCATGTGATTCAGCCTTAGGCACGAAGAAGATTCAGACACGTGCTCCCCAGAGATGAACTCTGAAGGCATTGCACTGAGTGTAATGAGCCAGCCACCAAAGGACAAATCCTCTGTGATTCCACTTACATGACGTCCCGGGAGTGGTCACATCCATGGAGACAGGAAGTAGAGTGGAGGGGCAAGGGTCACTGCTCCGTGAGTACTGAGTCGTCATTGGAATCTCAAAGAGAGGAGGCACCTTGATGCCATCCAGTCCGGCTCCAGGTTGGTGAGGCTGTGAGGGCTGTTTGCTTGGAACCCTGGCTGTCTGCACTTAGGAGAGCTACCTGCCCAGGCAGGGGCTGGGGTGTCCTGCCCAGCCGGACCCTGGGGTGTGGCCTGTTGGGTTTGGAGTTGGACCTGCGTTATTGTGGGTTTCTCCTTTCCCACTCCCTGCCCCGAAGGCCTGGCCGCCTCCCTCGGTTGACATTCTCTGCTTTGTGGTCTTTGGCTCCAGGTTTCATTGTTTCAGAACCACCCAGCTGCGTCAGGTGGACAAGGGGATGTGCTTTCCTCCCTAGCACAGGGACTGAGTCCTGGACGTGGAGCTGGAGCTCCAGGGCACTGCCCCAGAGTGAGACTCCAACCTCTGTGGGCAGAGATGCCAGACCGCCAGACCGCCCGCAGCCATGAAGCGCGACACCAGACTTTCTAGGTTCCTGCGCGGGTCTGCTGCACGAGCGGCTGCGGTGCATCACACCGTCTGCCTCAGCCCTGCTCTTCTAAAGAGACCTGCAGCTTGGTCATCACCCAGTGCTATCTGCAAGGGGGATGGCTTCCTGGGCAGGTTGCCCAGGGTCAGGGTCTCCCTGGGAGTGTGAGGGCACCAGCTGGGTGCAGGGAGTAGGGGTGCTATGTGCCATGCTACCCTCCTAGAGGACTGAGAGGCACCTGGGGGACAGGTTGGGTCTCAGTTCCCAGCCCTGCACTGGACCCCAAGTCCTTTGGGGTCCCTGCCACCTCCAGGCTCATGGGATGCAACACTGACAATTATGAAGGCGTCCGGCTGAGGGCCAGGAACCATAGCCAGCCCCTGGGCTGGGGCGCCACGCGGCCCGGCAGGCACGCAGGGTGGAAAGTCCCTGGCTGCACCCTTTGAGAGCTCTGGAAAGTCCCTGAGAGGAGTCTGGTTTGGTCATGTGGGAGGGGCGGGCACAGCTCTGGAATAGCTTGGCTGTGGCCTTTGATTTTATTGATAAAACCTCTCACTGGCTGTAAGTGTCACACACATGGGGGCGGAAATGCAGCCCTCTCTGCGGAGTTGGGGGCCGCCTCTCCTTGCTCTCAGGTTGCTCAGAGTACGCTGCTAGTTGGGGCGTTGTTGTGAGTGCAATGCTGAGGCTAAGGCGGCTTTTTTTCCTTGGTGGTGTGAAATTTTTTGGGAAAGTGGAAAATCCTGCTTAGCTTTTGAATATGTTTTTCCTTTGCAATGATACCTTTCTAGGAACTGAATGATTTTATTCATTTTTTTATTTTCATTTTCTTTGAGATGGGGTCTCGCTCTGTCGTGCAGGCTAGAGTGCAGTGGTGTGGTCTCAGCTCACTGCAACCTCTGCCTGCCAGGCTCAGACGATTCTTCTGCTTCAGCCTGTAGGCACCTGCGACCATGCCTGGCTAATTTTTTGTATATCTGGTAGAGACGGGGTTTTACCATGTTTGCCAAGCTGGTCTTGAACTCCTGACCTCAAGTGATCCACTGCCTTGGCCTCCCAAAGTGCTGGGATTCCTGGCATAAGCCACCGCACCCGGCCAAATGGAATGATTTTAAAACTTCAGATAAAAAATGATTATGGAGTACCTGCCTAGTGCTAATAGCAGAGCTGAATTCCCCAGCGGGCCCGGAGCTGCGTGCTCTGGCAGCTGGGTGGTGGGGGTGCAGGGAGACCTTCCAGAGAGGACACAGGCCGGCCGCACGAGCAGTGGAAAGGCCAGGAAAGGCCGGATGCTCGGCCTCATGGACGTTCTAGTAAAATTCAAAGGTATGATGACTGTATTTGCGACAGACGTGTAGTTTGAATTCTGGCTGAATAAACTTGATTTCTTTGAACTATGTCCGCCGTGGGTGGGGAGAAGACTGACACAAATGGTGGTAGGTGCATCAGCTGTAGCACTGCCCTGGGTCCCATGGGCAAGTTCAGGTATGAGTGCCAAGAGGAAGGTTTTATTTCTGACGTGTCTGGCACGCAGCACATGTGAGCAGGGAGTAGGAGGCCGACAGTGGAGCCCAGCGCAGCCCCGAGGCGCCAGCCAGCCCGTGCCAGTCTCCTTCAGCCCCAGCTCCACAGCCCCA